GGGGTCGGCACACGACACAGGCGTTGAACAACGTGCTGGGCACCATACAGCACGGGGGGAGACAACTCTTGCTGGTGGCCAACACCGCCGCTCACACACAGCGCGTCAACCAGACTCCCACGTCCCTCCACCCCCACACCCCCCCTCACCTCGCTGACTCACTACCAAACTCCTCCTCTGTGCCAGCCCTCCGGTCCCAGGCGTCCACCCCACTGGCCACCGTTTCCACCAAGCCTGGGACTGTCACCATTCTACAATCTTTCCCACAATCTGTGTCACAAGCAGCGCCCATTCCCCCACGGTCGCCGAGTGTGGCGTTGGCCGACAGTCCTCGCGTTGTGGCTGTGCAACAAACGTCGCTGGTCCACGCCCGCCTCACAGAATCCGCGGCAGCTCAAAGCTTGCTGAGTAACCCCGCCTCATTGGCCGTGTCTCCCAGCTTTGAGAAGATGTCAGCGGTGGGAGTGAGGAAGCATGGAAGAGGTGTACGTGCGGTGCCCGGAGTGGCCATCAACCGCAGCCTTCGGACAGACGAGGAGCGGCGTCTTGGCCAGTACGAGATCCTCAACGCCTGGAAAAATAACCCGGAGAAGTTTTCGCGTGTCCCGTCCAAGTCCAGGAAAGTGTGCAGGTCTACCGACGTGATAGACGGAGACGTGGACCATCTGCCCTCGCTACAGTGAGTCCCACATTGTCTCCTGTACTCTCTACCGTCCTTTACTCTCTACCGCCACTACATACTGCCATGCTAAGGCAGAGCGACGTATCTGCACTTTTTATCATTTTGAGTTACGTCGCGCCGCCTTTGGAAATATGGGCGTGGCCCTTCAGTTATGTCTGTTTGCCATAGTGAAATCTCCTATTTGTGGTGCAGATACGTCTGTTTGCCATAGTGAAATTTCCTATTTGTGGTGCAGATACGTCTGTTTGCCATAGTGAAATTTCCTATTTGTGGTGCAGATACGTCTGTTTGCCATAGTGAAATTTCCTATTTGTGGTGCAGATACGTCTTTCGCGGTCTATAGCCGGGTCCCCATTCCCACCTGGGTGAAGTGAGGAACATTTGTGTAAAATGCCATTCCGTAGGACACAACATTGGGGCCCTGATAGTATTCAAACCCATGACCTAACAGTTGCAAGTCCTGTGTTGCATGTGCCATAAAACTGATGAAAACTGGAGAGTCATAGTAGGCCTACCTATGTTCTAGTGTGTGTGTGTGTGTGTGTGTCTGTCTGTCTGTGTGTGTCTGTCTGTCTGTGTGTGTGTCTCTGTAAGTGTGTGTGTGTGTCTGTCTGTCTCTGTAAGTGTGTGTGTACGCGCACGTGATTGTGGGGGGGGGGGGGGGGTCTATACCTTTCATATTTCTCTACATTTTCTTGTTTTTCTGCCAAATAAAAAATGATGAAGTGAAGAAAAGCAGGTTGGTTTTTTTTTATTCCCCCTTTTTGTGAGTGAGGGTGAGGTGTGGGTGAGGGTGAGATGTGGGTGAGGGTGAGGGTGAAGGTGAGATGTGGGTGAGGGTGAGATGTGGGTTATGGTGAGATGTGGGTGAAAGTGAGGGTGAGGGTGAGTCTGTGTAACTTTGAGATCTCGGTGAATGGAAGGCAGACTATGATGTTTTCCTAGTGAATAGAGAGAGGGTGAGATGTGGGTGAGGGTGAGGTGTGGGTGAAGGTGAGATGTGGGTGAGGGTGAGATGAAGGTGAGAGTGAGGGTGAGTCTGTGTAACTTTGAGATCTCGGTGAATGGAAGGCGGACAGTGAATAGAGAGTCCTATGATGTGTCCTATGATGTGTCCTACGATGTGTCCTAGTGAATAGAGAGTCCTATGATGTGTCTATAAAGTGTCCTAGTGAATAGAGAGTTTTACGATGTGTCCTATGATGTGTCCTAGTGAATAGAGAGTCCTATGATGTGTCCTAGTGAATAGAGAGTCCTATGATGTGTCCTACGATGTGTCCTATGATGTGTCCTAGTAAATAGAGAGTCCTATGATGTGTCTATAAAGTGTCCTAGTGAATAGAGAGTTTTACGATGTGTCCTATGATGTGTCCTAGTGAATAGAGAGTCCTATGATGTGTCCTATGATATGTCCTAGTGAATAGAGAGTCCTATGATGTGTCCTATGATGTGTCCTAGTGAATAGAGAGTCCTATGATGTGTCCTATGATGTGTCCTACGATGTGTCCTATGATGTGTCCTAGTGAATAGAAAGTCCTATGATGTGTCTATAAAGTGTCCTAGTGAATAGAGAGTCCTATGATGTGTCCTATGATGTGTCCTATGATATGTCCTAGTGAATAGAGAGTCCTATGATGTGTCCTATGATGTGTCCTAGTGAATAGAGAGTCCTATGATGTGTCCTATGATATGTCCTAGTGAATAGAGAGTCCTATGATGTGTCCTATGATGTGTCCT